CCCAGGGGAAGAGAGGGAGGGCCCCAGCACTCTGGGGAGCTGTGGTGGCCGAGGGTCCAGACAGGGGAAGAGAAGAAGGAGACAGTGACTGCTGTGGCCAGGGGACAAGGCTCCTCACCTCCCAGGGTACTCTGCTGTGTTCTCCCCACACACGCCCGATCCCTCCTTTACCACTGTTCACCTTTCACGCTGCAAACCCGACCCAAGGGCAAAGAACTCAGCAAGACCTGGTGCCCGGGCTCCGGCTGCTTCCAGGGGTCTCCCTGTCTCCCTGCCGGTTCCCCAGGGCAGCAGGCCAGGCCTCTCCCTGGGTTCTGATAAGAGTCCAAGGTTCCAAGAACAGCACCTTCACATGGGTGGGAGCCCTCTAGGATCACGGTGGTCAGCGGAGCGCGCCTGCCTGCCATGGACCGTGCCTTCCATGTGAGCAGGTCTCTCTCATCCACTTGTGCTGTCTCTTTGCATAACACCATGTTAACACGCTGAGTGATGTATGTGCTGTAAATATCCTTCACTTTTTTCTTTTGATTGGGTTGAGTCTAACACGTGCACACGTGATAGATATAAACCGTAGCTGCGCGTACCTCATCTGCGGCGATTTCCTGCTGAGGGGAACGAGCTCTTCCCAGGTATGCTCTCCTCTAATTTTGTTTATTTTTCTTAGGACTTAGATCTTGAATTATTCAAACATAGTACCATTTGTACAATCGTTCTTGTAAAGACAATTTACAAAGACTTAACAGAATTTGATATTTTCAAAGTAAATCACTGCAAACCCATATCTTCAGTGAAAATGTTGTGTTACAAGAAAGAAGATTATGAGAAGAACTAAAATTTTCTGTTTTCCAAATCTTTCTTAGAAATGTGATGCTTGCCCCTGCATCTTATCTGTAAAACAAATGAGGTCCCCCCTCCCACGGGGGCGTGGAGCGGGCCTTCTCCCAGAGCTCAGTCCCAGCCCACCCCCACCAGCCAGACCACCCTGTCCCTCCCTCCACCCACCTCTGGGCAGTGCCAGTCCCTTGGGGAGACCTTTGCCTCCATTTTCTCCTCCAACGAAGAATCCCATCTTTCTCCCATTCCCCACCACGGCCCCAGGTGGAAAGGCTTGGTCAGAGCTAAATTTTGAGCTTCCTGTTCCTTAGGGAGTTGTTTTATGGTTAACTTTTCAATTTTAGAAACATCACCTACTCATAGTAAAAAATAAAAACGAAACGAAACAATAAATGGCGCTACGAACAGCGGAAGTGTTCCCTGAGTTCACGCTGGAGAAGGTCTTGGAGGCCACTGCTGTGCCCTCCCCAGGGGCTACCTCTCCACTCTGGGTGGCCAGGCAACAGTGGGTGTCCCTCGTCCCTTTGGTCCCTGGGGGCTACCAGAGCAGACTGTGGAGACGGGGTACCTGGACCCTCTGCAGCCGCTGAGCCACCAGAAGAGGACCCGCCCAGGGCGAGTGCAGAGGGTGCCTTTCAGAACGTTTCGTCAGACCAGAGAGGTCTGACCCGCTCCCGCCGCGGTGCAGAAAGCCGGGGGGAGGCCAGGCAGTCCCCCATCAGGCCTGCCGGGCAGCTGGAGGGTGTGGGAGATGAGCTTGCTTCCCATTCAGTTATCCTCTTCTTTGTCCAGAAATAGGCACACAATGAGGAAGTCGCCTGGTTCCAAATGGCAACTGTCCCAGAAAAGCAGGTGCCTTGCATCCGAG